AACAGTCACGTGAAGGCAGAGCAGAACTCATTTGTTTAATGATGAACCCTACAGGCTTCCCCCTCTGAACTAGCTTTCAAATAGCTCATGCTGATAAAGGCTGAGAGATTAGATCCACCCTGTGGGCAGACTGCTATAATCTTCGTCACACTGAGAGGAATCCTGCTTTCTTTCATTCTCCAAACAGAGAAGAGATGGGCAACAGCGAGTCATTCTCTGAAGGTGAAGCTGAAACTTTAATTTAGACCTCCAGCTAAAATTTAGATTGCTAACCAAATAAAATGACGCAGAATGTATGAAATGATACAACTATTGTAATTTCTTGTAAAATATTTTCAACCTATCATGAGTATAACAGAGTTTTTATTTCTACAGGTGATCCTCTGAGGATTGTGATGATTGGGAAAACTGGTGTTGGGAAGAGTGCTGTTGGGAACACCATTATTGGCAAAGAGGTTTTTCAGTCTGAAGTGAGTTCAGAGTCAGTGACCGAGACTTGTGAAATAGAACGAGTTAGAGATTGCAAAAGAAAGATCCAAGTGGTCGATACCCCCGGCATTCTGGATACGAATAAAAAAACAGACATAATAAATAAAGAGATTGCAAAATGCATTCACATGACCACTCCTGGGCCTCACGTCTTCCTGCTGGTTCTTCAGATTGGCAGGTTTACCCAAGAAGAAAACAACTCCGTGCGAGCTCTGGAGAAACTCTTTGGACCTGAGGCAACAAACTACACAATCATCCTGTTCACTCACGGTGACAAGCTAACTAAAGAGAAGACAACCATACAAGAGTATTTGAGAACTGGCCACCCTAAACTCAGACAGTTGTTGGCTAGGTGTGGTGAAAGATATCATGTCTTCGATAACAAAGATAAAAACAGAATTCAGGTGGCTCATCTGATCAAGAAGATCGATCACATGGTGGGAACAAATGGAGGATGTCACTACACAGATAAAATGTTTGAGAAAGCACAGGAGCAATTAAAAACATCAGGACAGCTTTTAAATGAGGCCTTCATGGCAGAGCTGCGGCAAAAAGTCATCCTGTTTCAGCAAATATTGGCTAATCCAGAGGGCTGGACTAGCTAAGACTACACTTGCCAATCTT